CGTACACACACACACGCACAACAAAACGGAGCAGAAAAGCCAAAAACAAAACATTTATTTGATAACGATAATACATAGTTGAAGGAATCGTCTGATGCACATATATTCACAACTGCAGCGAGTCTGAGTTACTTCGTTAAATAAGAAAGACTGTGGTTTTCGATGCGGATTCCACACCGACGTTTGGTTCACTGCTGATCAAACATTAGGGGCTCTGTAATACAAAAGCAAACTTTACTTGAAAATGTAATTGGTTTTGAGGGAATACAGCATGTAAAGCTCAAGTTCAAGCGATATGTGTCGGTGTAAACGAGTTTAAGGAAGGAAAGCTACAACTGAACAAGCACCCTCTGGGCAATACATTTGTAATTGTTTCAGTAAAACAAAAGAAGCTATTTTCATTATCATAATCATTTGCTGGTTGCATCGGAGAAACAGCTTTCCAGTGATTCGCCGACACGGTTATAGCGCCGCATATTGGCTTTTCGTTCTCTCACTTTGGTGGCAAAGCAACTCCGACACGGGAAAACAGTAAGTAGGTCTTTCTCAGCACAGGCTATTTAAGAAGCTTGGTCGTCGTACAGGAGCAGTTCGTGAGGTGTAAGGAAAGGGTGACCAGCCACAAACCCAGACACTGAGGCTTTCTGAACCTAGACTACTCTGAGCCTGTGACTTAACGCATGGTTAATGAAGTGATGCTTCGGTTTAGTGACACATAATTATCCGGTTGCATGATCAGATGTGCAGATGAGCACCGTTCAAACTCGAGGCTTATTACGTATGTGACACGGTGTCGGTTTGCGCGGTTCGAAATGCTTTGTTCGTTTGCCATATATTTATCCCTAAGCTCCACTAGGAACAAATGATATAGGCAATCTGTATCAAACCAGACCGGTTCAAACAACAACTAAAAAACGAATAGTTACCGTACAGAGTGGTGCTTTGTTTTGGCCATGCCAAAATGCATGGATTGTTAGAATATGATGTGTACGCGTATTAGCTGTCGTGTCTAGAACACATTCAAATTACGCAATTCACCTGTCAATACGGATATGTCTTCGGTGGAGTCAAAAATCAGTGTATTTCATTCAAATTCCCCTCAAAAAGCGGATGATTGACAGGTGTGCAGGTGTGCGAAAGACGTATAGGTTGACGTGAGACGCGAACTATGATCACCCGCGGCACGGGTAGTCTTTGCATGACTATTTTTTGTTGGATGAATGAATGACTGACCCAGGGTTGGCGTGAAGTTGACGTGTAGTGAAG